TAAAAAAAAAAAAAAAAAAAAAAAAAAAAAATTATGTTCGTTAACTTTTTTCTATTACCTTTTTATTTCTATTATTTTTTATTATATTAATATTATTTTAGAAATTATCTAAATTATTATTAAATTAATATTGTATGTTTTTTTTTTTTTTTTTTATTATTCTATATAAATTTAGAAAATTAATAACACAATTTTAAAGTTGTGATAAAACAATATATATACTATAAATATTAAATAGATAATATAAAAATTTTTTCAACATTTGTTTTTTCTTAGAAAAATAAGGTTTTAAAATGAGGGTAATTTTTAATGGACAAAAAAAAAAAAAAAATAAAATATAATATAAAAAAATATAAAAAAATATAAAAATAATTATTAATATATTTATTTAAATATATATATATATATATTAAAAATATTATCTTTTGGTTTAAATATATTCAGTTATTTGTTTGTGGCATATTTTCAGTTAAGTGTTTTGATATTGATAAGGATATAAAAAATATAACTATAACATACCAATATTTTCGTAAAAAGGATTTGGGTTCTTTTTTTTCTTTTTCATTCATATTTTCATTAGCTTTTGTTTTAATTTTGTTTTCTTCTGTCAAATTATTTATATCAATAGGTAAGGAAACTGATAAAACTTTTATGGCAAACATTCCTGAGAAGATTTTAGTATTTTGATATTCTTCATATGTTTTGTAATTCATTACAAATGGTAAATAATTATTATCTAAACCAATTAAAAGTATGAAATTCTCTATGTTGTAAATTCTACTTTTATCAACATAAGTTTGTATACATTTTTGTTCTTCCACATTGTAACATAATTGAAATAAAACATAATCGAATTCTCCTTTTAATTTTTCAATAAATTTTTTTTTTTCTCCTAAATAAATGTTAGATGTATCATGAATTTCATTATTATTTAAAATAAAATATCCAATATTGTTCCATTTGTCATTATTTAAAGAATAGGAATTTATTTCATAATTTAATTCAATTATATTTTTATTACAAAATACAGGTATTAAAAATAGGTAAAATATACAATATAATATTTTTTCTCTCATTTTTTTTTTAAATAATTTAAAACTAGTATATATTTTTGAGAATAATATTTTTGATACAATTAAAAATTGTATGTGCTTTCTTTTCTCATTTTCTATATAAAATTATATTGTAAATATATATATATATATGTATAAAAAAAAAAAAAAAAAAAAAAAAAAAATTTATAAAATATAAAATTTACATATATTATTCATATAAAATAGTATTACGAAAAAAAAAAAAAATTTGAATTAATCTTTTTAAATATATGCATAAAAATGTTTTAAAAAATAGTACTAACATATCTGAGGATACACAGTAGAAAATATAGTTTTCCATATAAATTTTTTATATTTTTT